CATAATGGTAAATCACAAATAGAATATTTGTTTACAAGTGGTGGTACAACCATTTCATGACAATCTGTAAAACAAACCATAGTAATCACTTCATCTAATCATGCAGAAATTTTAGCATTACATTAGACAAGTTGTGAATGTATTTGGCTAAGATATGTGATTCAACATGTGTGGGAAACTTGTGATTTATCTTATAGAAAAATGACATCGATAATTTTATATGAAGATGATGTTGCATGTATTGCATAATTGAAAGATGAATACATAAAAGAGATAGAACAAAACATATTCTACCAATTTTTTTTTATACTCATGATCTTTAAAAGAATGATGATATAAATGTTTAACAAGTTCTCTCATGTGACAACCTAATAGATCTCTTTATAAAGTCACTTCTAAGAAACATTTTTGAGTAGTTAGATATAAAAGATTGGACTCAGTCATCTTAAAGATAATTGTACGCATGAAGAGCAAAAATAAATATTTACGAATGATGTACTCCTTTTCTTTCATTAGGGTTTTATCCCACAAGATTTTTCCTAGAAGGTTTTAATGGGATATATTCTAAATATTGGACATCCAAGGGGAGTGCTATGAATAATAATTGGTGGCTTAATTAGTAGATATTCATATTCAATGTGTATTATTACTATTTATATTTTCATTATGTATTATTTTCATCTTTGCATAATTATTCAATTACTATAATAGGTTAGTTGTCCCCTAAAAATAATACATCAATCAAATTTTTTCTTCCATCTCATATTTATTGTTTATTCTCTCTACTTTATCTTTATTTTCATATCACTTAACAATTATTTATAATCAACATTAATATTAATCATTTCAATTAATATTTATTATTTTCCTTTTTAGTTAAACTTGATCTCTTAATTGTTAAAATCGTTAATATATATATATATATATACTAATAAAATTTAAATTCAAAATTTTAAATATTCTGTACAATTAGTGTTGTGTCATTTTTGTTAATAATTAATAATAATAACTATTCTATTTATTGTTTGTTCGTAACTAATAATACGTTGATATAACATATTTAAAATTAAGAGTATAATAATATTTTAAGATAATAGTTTATATTTTACCTTTTATATTATAAATAGATAAATAAATGAAATTAAATGAACTCAAATTTTACATATTCTTTTGCAAGTCACTAGATTCCCTTAAGATGAATTTCCTAAATTAGTGAACCACCCAATACATTTTTCTTTCATACAAACTGATTTAAAAATATTAGGAAAACCAATTTAGCATATATTTATTTGAATCTCTCGAGACATTTTTATGTAGAAATTTAGAAAGGAAATTAAAATGTCGATTTTTTTAATATATAAAATTATTTATTTATTTATTTAAATAATCTGGGCCCAAAATTATTTACGCAAATAACCCAAACCCAAATGAGAAATCGGTTACTAGGTAACCGATTTCTCAAAGGGATTTTAAATTTTTTTTTTTAAAATCCCTTTTAAAAATCGGTTACCCAGTAACCGATTTC